CTTTAGGCTTAAAACCAGACATGGGCAAATGTTGGCACTATGGGTGTTCTGCTAGGCAGTTAGGAATTGTGTGAGTTGAAGTTCAAAACAGCTGGAGGGACGAAATTTGCCCAGGCCTGGTGTCTCAACAACTTCCTCATGTGCCTCAACTACTCCCTCTTGTGCATAAATCAAGATGGAAATGAGTATGTGAGATTATGGAGGAGAATGCTCTTCCTTATGTGATGGGAGAGATGATTGAATAATGTCTTACCTGTATCTAACTTGGCTTTCTGAAATGAATGAGTTGGTTTAGATATTATATCTGTACATAGCTGGTATGGTGCTTAGAAAAGAAACAGAGTTCAAAGGTACCCCAAGGGCCATGTAGTGCATGGCCAGGGCCTATCCAATGCAAAATCTGCAGTTGTTCAAAGATGGTTATGAATTCAATTGTTAACAAAGTGTTCCGTTGGACTGACCTTCTTAAACTGTGATTGCTTATTCTAGCAGTAAAGTTCATCAAGGACAAAAGCGAACATGAGTAATTTTAATTACTTACTTACTTATTTAGGCGATCCCTCGTTGTCCGAGTAGGATAGTCTTCCAAGATCAGTGTTCTGGTGGATCCGTAGGTGGCTGTGGAGCTCTATTCTTGATCTGCATCTTCTCCCGCAGTGAGGGCATTGGTTTCCAGATGGAAGGCGGTCTCGGTTGGGGTTGGCTTGACGTGCCTTCCTCTTGGCACATTTCTTTCTTTCGCCCTCCATTCATGCCTCTTCCAATTCTACAGCACTGCTGATCACAGCAGATCTCCTTCCTAGTTCTCAGTGTCTATGCCAGAGTTTTTAAGGTTGGCTTTGAGACCATCTTTAAATCTCTTTTTGTTTTCCATTCTTGAGTTCGGAGTAGAGCAACTACTCTATTATTATTTTACTGGGACCACCTTGACTGGCTTGTGCCAGAGTCTTTGTAGTTCTATCTTTAAATCCTCATATCGTGTCAGCTTTTCCAGTTGTTTCTCTTAAATCCTGCTGTCACCTGGGATTGCGACATCGATGATCCATACTTTGTTTTTTAACACAATGGTTAGGTCAGGAGTATTATGCTCCAAAACTCTGTCTGAATTCAGAAGTCCCAGAGTAACTTGACGTGTTCATTCTCTGTAACTTTTTCTGGCTTGTGATCCCACCATTTCTTTGTCACAGACAGATGGTATTTGTGGCACAAGTTCCAATGAATCATCTGAGCAACTGTGTTATGCCTCTGCTTGTAGTCTGGCTGCGCGATCTTCTTGCAGCAGCTGAGGATGTGATCTATTATTGTATTGTTGAAGGCTTTCATGGCCGGAATAACTGGGTTGTTGTAGGTTTTTTCGGGCTATATGGCCATGTTCTAGAGGCATTCTCTCCTGACGTTTCGCCTGCATCTATGGCAAGCATCCTCAGAGGTAGTGAGGTCTGTTGGAACTAGGAAAAAGGGGTTATATATCTGTGGAATGACCAGGGTGGGACAAAGGACTCTTGTCTGCTGGAGCTAGGTATGAATGTTTCAACTGACCACCTTGATTAGCATTTGATGGCCTGGCAGTGCCTGGGGCAATCTTTTGTTGAGAGTTGATGAGATGTCCCAGATTGTTTCCTCTCATTGTTTCATCTGCTTCCTTGCAGAGCCTACATTTGGGATCTGTTGTCGACTTTTCAATTCTGGCTTTGCTGTGGCCCAGTCTAGTGATCTGGAAAATTACATAATTAGAAAGTGTTGGTTTCTAATATATGTAATTTTTTTATGCTTGTGGGTAAACAGTATTTCTTGCTGCTTCTTTGTCTGGTTTGCCTACTCTGGAACATGCAATGTATAATTCACCTTCTTTAGGGATCCCTTTCAAATCTATGATACTATATCTCTGTGTGTGAATCATATATATCTATTTATATCTACGGCTGGATGGCCCTTTGTCAGGAGGGCTTTGATTACGTTTTCTTTCCCTGGTGAAGGGAGTTGGACTGGATGACCTTAAGTATTTTTTGTTCGTCATGGGGGTTCTGTGTGGGAAGTTTGTCCCAATTCTGTCGTTGGTGGGGTTCAGAATGCTCTTTGATTGTAGGTGAACTATAAATCCCAGTAACTACAAATCCCAAATGTCAAGGTCTATTTCCTCCAAACTCCATCTGTGTTCATATTTAGGCATATGGAATTTTTGTGTCAAGTTTGGTCCAGATCCATCATTGTTTGAGTCCACAGTGCTCTCTGGATGTAGGTGAACTACAACTCCCAAACTCAAGGTCAATGGCCACCAAACCCTTCCAGTGTGTTCTGTTGGTCATGGAAGTCCTGTATGCCATGTTTGGTTCAATTCCATCATTGGTGGAGTTCAGAATGCTCTTTGATTGTAGGTGAACTATAAATCCCAGCAACTACAACTCCCAAATGTCAAGGTCTATTTTCCTTAAACTCCATCTGTGTTCATATTTGGGCATATGGAATATTTGTGCCAAGTTTGGTCCAGATCCATCATTGTTTGAGTCCACAGTGCTCTCTGGATGTGGGTGAACTATAATTCCCAAACTCAAGGTCAATGTCCACCAAACCCTTCAAGTTTTTTCTGTTCGTCATGGGAGCCCTGTGTGCTAAGTTTGGCCCAATTTCATCATTGGTGGAGTTCAGAATGCTCTTTGATTGTAGGTAAACTATAAATCCCAGCAACGACAACTCCCAAATTCAAATTTGTGTGATTTTGTCCATTATTTCTTTTTCTTTTTTCTTTTTAATTTTATTTTTTTTTTTTTTCTTTTCTTGGGTTAAAAAAGTAGTCTTATACACCAGAATATACGGTAAATGACACTGATTTGAATGCACATACTGATTTGAATGCTCTTTGATTGTAGGTAAACTATAAATCCCAGCAACGACAATTCCCAAATGACAAAATCAATTTTTTTGAGTGGAGGACATAAATTGTACTGTTAGGTGTCTTGTGTCCAAATTTGGTGTCAATTCCCCTAGTGGTTTTTGAGTTTTGATGGTAGCACGAACTAACATTACATTTTTTTTTATATAGATTATTAAGGGCTCAAGACAGCTTATAGCCAAACATACCATATAAAAGTTAAAACCATACATATTAGACATGCAGTAAATTCTAATCTAGCTGAACTGTTTAAAATCTTAAAAGATGATGCTGTCAAGGTGATGCCAGCAAATATGGAAAACACAAGAATGGCCATCAGACTGGAAAAAAATCAACTTATATCCCCATACCAAAAAAGGGAAATGCGAAAGACTGCTCAAACTTCCGTAGAGTGGCCCTTATTTCTCATGCCAGTAAGGTAATGCTCAAGATCCTGCAAGGAAGACTCCAGCAATACATGGAGCGAGAGTTGCCAGATGTTCAAGCTGGGTTTAGAAAAGGCAGAGGAACAGAGACCAAATTGCCAATATCCGCTGGATAATGGAGAAAGGCAGGGAGTTTCAGAAAAACATCTACTTCTGCTTCATTGACTATTCTAAAGCCTTTGACTGTGTGGATCATAATAAATTGTGGCAAGTTCTTAGTGGGATGGGCATCCCAAGCCACCTTGTCTCTCTCCTGAGGAATCTGTACAAGGACCAAGTAGCAACAGTCAGAACTGACCACGGAACAACAGACTGGTTCAAGATTGGGAAAATCATACGGCAAGGCTGCATACTCTCACCCAACCTTTTTAACTTGTATGCAGAACACATCATGCGATGTGCGGGGCTTGACGAATGCAAGGCTGGGGTGAAAATTGCTGGAAGAAACAATAACAACCTCAGATATACAGATGACACCACTCTGGTGGCCGAAAGCCAGGAGGAGCTGAGGAGCCTTCTAATCAAGGTGAAAGAAGAAAGTGCAAAAGCCGGGTTGCAGCTAAACATCAAAAAAACCAAGATTATGGCAACAAGAATGATTGACAACTGGAAAATAGAGGGAGAAAATGTGGAGGCCGTGACAGACTTTGTATTTCTAGGTGCAAAGATTACTGCAGATGCAGACTGTGGCCAGGAAATCAGAAGACGCTTACTTCTTGGGAGGAGAGCAATGTCCAGTCTCGATAAAATAGTAAAGAGTAGAGACATCAACTGGCAACAAAGATCCGCCTAGTCAAAGCCATGGTATTCCCTGTAGTAACCTACGGATGTGAGAGCTGGACCTTAGGAAGGCTGAGAGAAGGAAGATAGATGCTTTTGAACTGTGGTGTTGGAGGAAAGTTCTGAGAGTGCCTTGGACTGCGAGAAGATCCAACCAGTCCATCCTCCAGGAAATAAAGCCCGACTGCTCACTGGAGGGAAGGATACTAGAGACAAAGTTGAAGTACTTTGGCCACATCATGAGGAGACAGGAAAGCCTAGAGAACACAATTATGCTGGGGAAAGTGGAAGGCAAAAGGAAGAGGGGCCGACCAAGGGCAAGATGGATGGATGGCATCCTTGAAGTGACTGGACTGACCTTGAAGGAGCTGGGGGTGGTGACGGCCGACAGGGAGCTCTGGCGTGGGCTGGTCCATGAGGTCACGAAGAGTCGGAGATGACTGAATGAATGAACAACAACATAACCAAGGAAAGAAGTATTGAGTTCCTTACTACCTCTGAGGATGCTTGCCATAGATGCAGGCGAAACGTCAGGAGAGAATGCCTCTAGAACATGGCCATATATCCCAAAACCTACAACAACCCAATGATTCCGGCCATGAAAGCCTTCGACAATACATTATTATTATTATTATTATTATTATTATTATTATTATTATTATTATTATTATTATTATTATTATGGGCTCAAGGCAGCTTACAGCCAAACATACCATATAAAAGTTACAACCATACATATTAGACATGCAGTAAACTCTAATCTTCACAGTTCCCTGATCCTCGTCCCAGGCAGGAATTGCCCTTTTCTTCTTTCGAAAGGAGGGGGAAAAAAGAAAAAAACCAAGAGAAGGTCCCGGCGCTGTTTGGTCCTGAGCGTGACGTCATCGCGGCTTCCCCGCTTGGCTTTGGGAGTTGGTTGGCTGCTTGAGCCGCGGAGGCAGAGTGGAACTGGCTGCCGTACCGTCCGCTTCAGTAGTGCTGCTGCTGCTGCAGGAGGAGGAGGAGGAAGAGGAGCAGCAGCAGCGGGGCGGCCGGGTTGGAGAGAAGAGATGAGGGGAAGGAGAGAACTGTGGGAGCGGAGGAGCTTGGAAAGAGGACAGGAAAGGCGAAGCCCGTCCTGAGAAGTTTATCCCCCCCCCCCCTCAGGCAAAACGGCGGCAGCAGGAGCGTCTGTCCCGCGCGGCTTGGAGCGAAGTGGCTTCAAGCCGCCTCCCGCCCAGACTATGGCGTTGAAGGACAACAGCGGAGGGGCCTCGGTGGCGCCCAGCAGCAGCAGTAGCAGCGCCTCGGCCACCATCCTGCCCATCAGCGACATGGTGTCGTCGTCGTGCCCGTCCTCATCGGGGTTGTGCTCCTTCCCGGAGGTGGTGGAGCTCAACGTGGGCGGGCAGGTGTACGTGACCCGCCACGCGACGCTCCTGAGCGTGCCGGACAGCACCTTGGCCCACATGTTCTCCCCGCGGAGGGGAAACTCTGTGGGAGGAGGAAGCCCTCGCGAGCTGCCTCGGGACAGCCGGGCCCGCTTCTTCCTCGACCGCGACGGCTTCCTCTTCAGGTACATCCTGGACTACCTGCGCGACAAGCAGCTGGCCCTGCCCGAGCACTTCCCGGAGAAGGAGCGGCTCCTCCGCGAGGCCGAGTTCTTCCAGCTGCCCGAGCTGGCCAAGCTGCTCTCGCCCAAGGTGCCCAAGCAGAGCTCGCTCAACGACGAGGGCTGCCAGAGCGACCTGGAGGAAGGCAGCGGCGGGGGCAGCCTCTCGCCGGCCGAGCTGCTCCCGCCCCACGCCCGCGGCCCCGCCGAGAAGCGCGCCGGCTTCCTCACCGTCGGCTACCGGGGCTCCTACACCGCCCTCCGCGACAACCAAGCCGACGCCAAGTTCCGCCGCGTGGCCCGCATCATGGTCTGCGGACGCATCGCCTTGGCCAAGGAGATCTTCGGAGAGAGCCTCAACGAGAGTCGCGACCCGGACCGGCCCCCCGAGAAGTACACCTCCCGCTTCTACCTGAAGTTCACCTACCTGGAGCAGGCCTTCGACCGCCTCTCCGAAGCCGGCTTCCACATGGTGGCCTGCAACTCCACCGGCACCGCCGCCTTCATCAACCAGTACCGAGAGGACAAGATCTGGAGCAGCTACACCGAGTACATCTTCTACAGTGAGTCCTCCTCAAGCCTCTCTTTCTCTCTCTTTAGGGGCCCTTCCACACAGCCTTATATTCCATAATATGTGGGAGCCCCCCCCCCCCCACAAGATCTGCTTTGAACTGGGTTATCTGAGAGCCCTTCCACACTACTCAGCTACACCAAGTACATCTTCTACAGTGAGTCCTCCTCAAGCCCCCCCCCCTCTCTCTCTCTCTAGGGGACCTTCCACACAGCCCTATATCCCAGAATATCAAGGCAGAACAGCCCACAATATCTGCTTTGAATTGGGTCCACACTGAGTCCACACTCAGATAATGTGGGATTTTCTGCCTTGATATTCTGGGTTATAAGGATATGTGGAAGCCCCCCCCCCCCAAGATCTGCGTTGAACTGGGTTATCTGAGGGCCCTTCCACACTATTATTTATTTATTTATTTATTTACTTTGCTTATATACCGCTGTATCTCAAGCCCGAAGGCGACTCACAGCGGTTCACAAACAGTAAAAACAGTAGAAACAGCAGTGGTTCCATACAACATATAACAATTGACTTAACACATTATCCATAAATTACCAATAAGCAATTACAATGCACAATTATTATGAAAAACAACTGTACCCAATCTTCTCATCATCCAAGCGTAGTCCAGGTTCGTCGTCCATTGTTCCATTCCTATATTCCATTACCAGATTGCACTAAATTACTCAAACGCCTGCACAAACATCCAGCTACTCAGCTACAAGTACATCTTCTACAGCGAGTCCTCCTCAAGCCTCTCTCTCTCTCTCTCTCTTTAGGGGCCCTTCCACACAGCCCTATAGCCCAGAATATGTGGGAGCCCCACCCCACCCCCTACAAGATCTGCTTTGAACTGGGTTATCTGAGGGCCCTTCCACACTACTCAGCTACACCAAGGACATCTTCTACAGTGAGTCCTCCTCAAGCCTCTCTCTCTCTCTCTCTCTGTAGGGGCCCTTCCATATCAAGGCAGAATAGCCCACAATATCTACTTTGAATTGGGTAATGTGGGATTTTCTGCCTTGATATTCTGGAATATAAGGATATGTGGAAGCCCCCCCCCCCCCAAAAGATCTGCTTTGAACTGGGTTATCTGAGGGGCCTTCCACACTACTCAGCTACAAGTACATCTTCTACAGTGAGTCCTCCTCAAGCCTCTCTCTCTCTCTAGGGGCCCTTCCACACAGCCCTATATCCCAGAATATGTGGAAGACCCCCCCCCCCCACAAGATCTGTTTGAACTGGGTTATCTGAGGGCCCTTCCACACTACTCAGCTACAAGTACATCTTCTACAGTGAGTCCTCCTCAATCTCTCTCTCTCTCTCTCTCTCTTTAGGGGCCCTTCCACACAGCCCTATATCCCAGAATATCACAGCAGAACATCCCACAATATCTGCTTTGAACTAAGTTATCTGAGGGGCCTTCCACACTACTCAGCTACACCAAGTACATCTTCTACAGTGAGTCCTCCTCAAGCCTCTCTCTCTCTCTCTCTCTCTGTAGGGGCCCTTCCATATCAAGGCAGAATAGCCCACAATATCTACTTTGAATTAGGTAATGTGGGATTTTCTGCCTTGATATTCTGGAATATAAGGATATGTGGAAGCCCCCCCCCACAAAAGATCTGCTTTGAACTGGGTTATCTGAGGGGCCTTCCACACTACTCAGCTACAAGTACATCTTCTACAGTGAGTCCTCCTCAAGCCTCTCTCTCTCTCTCTCTCTCTCTCTCAGGGCCCTCCCACACAGCCCTATATCCCAAATATGGCCCCCCCCCCCCCACAAGATCTGCTTTGAACTGGGTTATCTGAGCCCCCGGTGGCGCAGTGGGTTAAACCCCTGTGCCGGAAGGACTGAAGACTGACAGGTCATAGGTTCGAATCCAGGGAGAGGCGGATGAGCTCCCTCTACCAGCTCCAGCTCCTCATGCGGGGACATGAGAGAAGCCTCCCAAAAGGATGATAAAAGCATGAATTCATCCGGGCGTCCCCTGGGCAACGTCCTTGCAGACGGCCAATTCTCTCACACCAGAACGACTTGCAGTTTCTCAAGTCGCTCTTGACACGACAAAATAATAATAATCTGAGGGCCCTTCCACAGTACTCAGCTACAACAAGTACATCTTCTACAGTGAGTCCTCCTCAAGCCTCCCTCCCTCTCTCTAGGGGCCCTTTCACATAGCTCTATATCCCAGAATATATGGAAGCCCCCCCCCACACACAAGATCTGCTTTGAACTAGGTTATCTGAGGGCCCTTCCACACTACTCAGCTACAAGTACATCTTCTACACAGTGAGTCCTCCTCAAGCTTCTCTCTCTCTCTCTCTCTCTCTTTAGGGGCCCTTCCACACAGCCCTATATCCCAGAATATCAAGGCAGAACATCCCACAATATCTACTTTGAATTGGGTAATGTGGGATTTTCTGCCTTGATATTCTGGAATATAAGGATATGTGGAAGCCCCCCCCCCCCCTCCCACGCACACAAGATCTGTTTTGAACTGGGTTATCTGAGGGGCATTCCACACTACTCAGCTACAAGTACATCTTCTACACAGTGAGTCCTCCTCAAGCCTCTCTCTCTCTCTCTTTAGGGGCCTTTCCACACAGCCCTATATCCCAGAATATCAAGGCAGAACATCCCACAATATCTACTTTGAATTGGGTAATGTGGGATTTTCTGCCTTGATATTCTGGAATATAAGGATATGTGGAAACCCCCACAAAAGATCTGCTTTGAACTGGGTTATCTGAGGGGCCTTCCACACTACTCAGCTACAAGTACATCTTCTACAGTGAGTCCTCCTCAACTCTCTCTCTCTCTCTCTCTCTCTCTCTCTCTCTCTCTCTCTCTCTCTCTAGGGGCCCTTCCTCACAGCCCTGTATCCTAGAATAGCAAGGCAGAACATCCCACAATATCTACTTGGAATTGGGTAATGTTGGATGTTCTGCCTTGATATTCTGGAATATAAGGATATGTGAAAGCCCCCCCCCCCCAAGATCTGCTTTGAACTAAGTTATCTGAGGGGCCTTCCACACTACTCAGCTACACCAAGTACATCTTCTACAGTGAGTCCTCCTCAAGCCTCTCTCTCTTTCTCTCTGTAGGGGCCCTTCCACACAGCCCTGTATCCCAGAATATCAAGGCAGAACATCCCACAATATCTACTTTGAATTGGGTAATGTGGGATTTTCTGCCTTGATATTCTGGAATATAAGGATATGTGGAAGCCCCCCCCCCCCTCCACAAGATCTGCTTTGAACTGGGTTATCTGAGGGCCCTTCCACACTACTCAGCTACAACAAGTACAGCGAGTCCTCCTCAAGCCTCTCTCTCTATCTCTCTAAGGGCCCTTCCACACAGTCCTATATCCCAGAATATGTGGAAACTCCCGACCCCACTCCACCCCACACACAAGATCTGCTTTTAACTGGGTTATCTGAGGGCTCATCCACACTACTCAGCTACACCGAGTACATCTTCTACAGCGAGTCCTCCCCAAGTCTCTCTCTCTCTCTCTAGGGGCCCTTTCACAAAGCTCTATATCCTAGAATATGTGGAAGCCTCCCCCACACACAAGACCTGCCTTGAACTGGGTTATCTAAGAGCCCTTCCACACTACTCAACTACAACAAGTACATCTTCTACAGTGAGTCCTCCTCAAGCCCCCCCCTCTCTCTCAAGCGGACCTTCCACACAGCCCTATATCCCAGAATATGTGGAAGCCCCAAAGCCTCCACCCCACCCACAAGTTCTGCTTTGAATTGGGTTATCTGAGGGCCCTTCCACACTACTCAGCTACACCAAGTATATCTTCTACAGAGAGTCCTCCTCAAGCCCCTCTCTCTCTCTAGGGGATTTTCCACACAGCCCTATATCCCAGAATATGTGGAAGCCTCCACCCCACCCACAAGTTCTGCTTTGAATTGGGTTATCTGAGGGCCCTTCCACACTACTCAGCTACACCGAGCATCTTCTACAGTGAGTCCTCCTCAAGCCTCTCTCTCTCTAGGGGCCCGTCCACACAACCCTATATCCTAGAATATGTGGAAGCCTCCCCCACACACAAGATCTGCTTTGAACTGGGTTATCTGAGGGCCCATCCACACTACTCAACTACATCAAGTACATCTTCTACAGTGAGTCCTTCTCAAGCCCCTCTCTCTCTCCCTCCCTCTCTCTCTCTCTCGGGGCCTGTCCACACAGCCCTATATCCCAGAATATGTGGAAGCCCCCCCCCCCCACAAGATCTGAGGACCCTTCCACACTACTCAGCTACATCAAGTACATCTTCTACAGTGAGTCCTCCTCAAGCCTCTCTCTCTCTCTCTCTCTCTCTCTCAGGGCCCTCCCACACAGCCCTATATCCCAAAATATCAAGGCAGAAAAACCCACCATATCTGCTTTGAATTGGGTTATATGAATCCACACTCAGATAATGTGGGATAGGGCTATAATGTGATGTATAGGGCTTAGTGGACAGGCCCTCAATTCAAAACAGATATTGTGAGATTTTCTGCCTTGATATTCTGGGGTATAGGGTTGTGTGGATGGGCCCCCAATTCAAAGCAGATATTGTGGGATTTTCTGCCTTTTTTGTCATGTCAGGAGCAACTTGAGAAACTGCAAGTCTCTTCTGGTGTGAGATAATTGGTCGTCTGCAAGGATGTTGCCCAGGGGACGCCCAGATGTTTTGATGTTTTATCATCCTTGTGGGAGGCTTCTCTCATGTCCCCACGTGAGGAGCTGGAGCTGATAGAGGGAGCTCAACCTGCGAACTGTTGATCTTCAGTCCTGCCAGCACAGGGGTTTAACCCACTGTGCCACCGGGGGCTCCATTTTCTGCCTTGATATTCTGGGATATAGGGCTGTGTGGATGGGCCCCCAATTCAAAGCAGATAATGTGGGATTTTCTGCCTTGATATTCTGGGATATAAGGATATGTGAATGGGCCCCCAATTCAAAGCAGATATTGTGGGATTTTCTGCCTT